CAAACTGAGAGCTAGCTTTAACCTGTCTAGGAAATAGTGTCTCTGCTATTCCGCATTTTTTGTTTCCATAGGTAACATCGACACTAACGTTCTTGTTTTAAGAGAATGACTGAAAAAAATATATCTATCTATCTATCCATATATATATATTATATATATATATATATATATATTATATATATATATATTATATATATATATATATATATATATATATATATATATATAGCTAGGACATTAAGTAGTTTTCTATATGACTTACGGGGAAGGTATTTCAGCCCTTTGGTTACAAAACCTCAACTACATGTAGTTAATGAAAATATCGCCTAGTCTTACTTCAAAGCTTTATTTAGGTCGTGAATGTAATCGCCTTGAGAACGTAGAGGAAGCAAGGCAGCATAGCAGTATTGCTTTCATTGCTGAATCTTAGGAAGTAAGGTAGATAAAAGGTCTCATTTAGACATTCAGGAAATCTGCCGTTTTTCACACAGAGAGTATTATTGGGTTTTATATTTTACCTCGACAGATGTCTGACAGCGCTAACATAAACAAGAACTTGTATGTCTACGTGGGCATGTATTATGGAATATTTCCTTAAATGATGTTTATTTCTTAAGAACTGGCGTTTTCACTTAGCAAATGAAACCATATCTGCTTATGTCTATTTTTGACAGACTGAGGCATCTAGATCATTGGGACCTGTAGACTTGGACGTACGACTACCTCGATCCATTAAGCCGCTCCATTATGTGGTCAAACTTCAACCCTTCATCAATGGCAACTTCAGCATCGTCGGCTACATGGAGGTGGAGATGGAGGTTCTGGAACCCACTTCCAACATCACTCTATCGGATATCATCATATAAAAAAACACCGTAAAGGTAGGGATAAGCTTCAATATACTATTGGGTATATATGTAGATGTAGCTCATTTGAACAAGACTTAATGTTTAACAACTGAAGCAGGTTTCTTCGTTCCACAAGCTCTGGGATAGTACACAGGAGTTTCAAAATTCTTCTTTTCTGTTTCAGGTTTCAGATCAAGCAACATCCCGAGGCTTGAGGATCAAGAAACACGAGTATGACCATAGTCGTCACTTTTACATTGCCCATTTGAGGAAAGAGCTCCAGAAGGGAAAAAGGTACATCCTGTCCATGGAGTTCCTTGGTTTTCTTAATGATAAGCTGCGTGGCTTCTACAGAGCGACCTACAAGGATGTTGATGGTAACATCAGGTGAATATCCCTTTGTTGTCTGTAACTGTACCCATTTCATAGTATACTAAAGACTATTTGCATATTATCGCTATAATCTCCGTCCAGAAATGCGGCTGCGACCAAGTTCCAGCCCACCGCCGCCCGCAAGGCCTTCCCTTGCTTCGACGAGCCCGCACTGAAGGCAACCTTTGAAATTCACCTCGCAAGGGAATCTTGGATGACGACCCTCTCCAACATGCCCATTGCCGAAACGGTGCCTGTGTGAGTAGCACTTCATGATGAAACAAATGTTATTCTATAGTTTAGATAAATGTCTTAATACCTTCCAATGCATCTTTTGATTAAACTGAATTTGTAATCCAACAGTGAAGGACAGGAGGGATGGATGTGGATCGTTACGAGAAGAGTGTCCTATGTCCACTTACTGGTTGCCTTCGTCGTGTCCGACTACGTTCATATCAACTCGACCGAGAATGACCGTGTAGATTTTCGAGGTAATGACAATTTATCGAAGCTAGATTCATCAGTGTTAATTTGTGTTTCTGAGTGAGTGATCAAGACAGATAGAAAGCGAGTACCTTTCATGCATATGTTCTTGTGATAACAACATAATTATTGTCAAATTTATCATTCTGCTGATATATTATAAAGAATCATGAGTAGTTTTCATTATTGTGGCCGTGAGCATGTGCAAAACAGCATGATCAGGGGTGACTGTGCTTAACATTCTAACCAGAAAAATTCTCTGGCAGTGTGGGCACGACAAGAGACCATAGATCAAGCAGAGTATGCAAATGAGATAGGTCCCAAGATCTTACGTTTCTTTGAAGATTATTTCAACCTATCTTATCCCCTTCCGAAGATGGACATGATTGCATTAACCGACTTCTCTGCAGGAGCTATGGAGAACTGGGGTCTAATAACTTACAGGTAATGCAGTGACATTAGCACAGAGCCTTGTATTACAACACCATTATGTATTGTTTTAAAATTATACCCATTTTACTCAGGAGCCGGGATTAGTGATATATTTGTATACAGAGAAAGGGTCGAGAGTAAGGATGTAAGGGTTCTGTGTGAAGTTTAAGACAAAAAGAAGCCATACTTGTATAATTGGCTGACCTCAACTCATCCTTCTGAAGGCATTGCTACCAGCTGGTATAGAATTATCATTGAGCTAAAACTGGAAAGCTGTATATCGCTCTATAAAATATCAAATATGATGTAACCTTATTGCTCACAGCATGCACAACCCTATTTCTAGCTATGACAGAGTTCTTGTT